ACTTGGGAGGTGGAAGTTGCAGTGAGCTGAGATCGCACCACTGCACTCCAGCCTGGGCAACAAAAGTGAAACTCACTCTCAAAAAAATAAAAAATAGGCCGGGCGCGGTAGCTCAAGCCTGTAATCCCAGCACTTTGGGAGGCCAAGACAGGCGGATCACGAGGTCAGCAGATCGAGACCATCCCAACATGGGCTAACATGGTGAAACCCCATCTCCACTAAAAAATACAAAAAACTAGCCGGGCGAGGTGGCGGGCGCCTGTAGTCCCAGCTACTCAGGAGGCTGAGGCAGGAGAATGGCGGGAACCCGGGAGGCGGAGCTTGCAGTGAGCTGAGATCCGGCCACTGCACTCCAGCCTGGGCGACAGAGCGAGACTCCGTCTCAAAAAAAAAAAAAAAAAAAGAAAACAAAAAAATAAATAAAATGCATTATGGTTTCTGTTGGTTGGCAGAAGATAGCAGTGAGAAGAGATAAAGGGTGGAAAGCCAGGCTGTCATTCAAAGATGCATTAGTGACTGCAGGTGGGAAGGCATGATGGGCTTCAAGTGGGCAAGAGTGTACCAGCCTCATCTCTGGTATGGAGGAATATGAGGGAAAAAACCACTTGGGGATGGTGTTTTCAATGGAGAAGAAAAGCTACACTTAAGCTAGAGGAAGCTTCAGAGCAGTTGAGGATATGGGGACTTGGATGGAAGCCCAGGAGTGGCAGAGAGAGTGCTGTGGGGATGAGTGTATGCATGATGAGAGGCCAGGAGGCATGAAGCAGTGAAACCTGACCTAGAGAGAAAAGACATCTGATCAGCTGCTGTGGTTCTAAGTGCTGAGCTCTTGGAATGGAAACTGTCAGAAGGGTGGGCCACCAGGCAGGCGAGAGCTTCCAGCAGGGAAAGGCTTAATGGACTGGGTGTGTTTGGAGCATGGTAAGTGACATGCGGACACCTGTGATGGGTTGTGACAATTCAGCAAGCACAGGTGAATGGAAAGGACAGGAAATGCACAAGATGAGGTGAAGGGGTGGCCTGCCCCTCCGCACCTGTGGGCTTTTCTAGTCAGGTGGGACGAGAGACTGGGAAAAGAAAGAAGACACAGAGACAAAGCAGCACTCAGCATATGGAGGACGTGCGCTGGCACTGGTCCCTGAGTTCCCTCACTATTGATAACTATCTCTACCATCTCGGAGAGGGGGATGTGGCAGGACTATAGGGTAATGGTGGGGAGAGGGTCAGTGGGAAAATGTGAGCAAAGATCTCTGTCATAAGTTAAAGGAAAGGTGCTGTGCCTTAATGTGCACGTAGGCCAGATTTATGTTTGACTTTACACAAACATCTCGGTGCATTAAGGAGCAGTATTGCCGCCAGCATGTCTCACCTCCAGCCATGAGGCAGTTTTCTCCTATCAGTAAATAGAACATACGATCGCGTTTTACACCGAGACATTCCATTCCCAGGGACGAGCAAGAGACAGAGGCCTTCCTCTTATCTCAACTGCAAAGAGGCCTTCCCCTTTTACTAATCCTCAGCACAGACCCTTTACGGGTGTCAGGCTGGGGGACGGTCAGGTCTTTCCCTTCCTACGAGGCCATATCTCAGGCTATCACTGGGGAGAAACCTTGGACAATACCTGGCTTTCCTAGGCAGAGGTCCCTGCTGCCTTCCGCAGTGCATTGTGTCCCTGGGTACTCGAGATTAGAGAATGGTGATGACTTCTACCAAGCATACTGCCTTCAAGCACTTTTTTTTTTTTTTTTTTTAACAAAGCACATCTTGCACAGCCCTAAGTCTATTAAACCTTGAGTCAACACAGCACATGTCTCTGCAAGCACAGCGTTGGGGCTAGGGTTACAGATTAACAGCATCTCAAGGCAGAAGAATTTTTCTTAGTATAGAACAAAATGGAGTCTCATGTCTTCTACTTTCTACATAGACACAGTAACAGTTGATCTCTCTTTTCCCCACAATAAGGCTAGATATGCAAGAGCTGGAACATAAGTTCTAAAAAGTGTTAGAGGATAAAGTAGATCTAGATAGCCATAAAATATTGAGTAAAAAAATTTCAGACTACAAAATATGCAGTTTTATAGAAAAAACCACGGTGTGAACGGGTATTATACATATGATGCAATATAATGTAAATACAATACAGAAAAGATCTAAAAGCATAGCACCCAGAAAAGATCCAGAAGCACAGCAGGTGTGACTCTGAGCGGTAGATTATGTAATACCATTAGATCTGTCAGCACAAGCCTAACAATGCTTTTATTATACTTTTTTTTTAAATGTAAAATATTTTAGGAAGATTAAGTTGCTAGTTCTGGTGATTGGTGGGAACTGGTGCTCTTTACCAAGCTAAAAAGTAACTAGGAATAACCAAAAAAAAAAAAAAAAAAAAAAAATTTATGAGAGAATTGGTCAGGGAAGGAATAGGATTGCTCAGCAAAGGTCAGAAAATAGGAGACAACATATTTTTGAAAAATGAAAAGCAAATAAAGATCACTTCACCAGACTAGCTTAACAAGCAGAGGACGGTGCGATTCAAGTGCTGTGGATCATGTGCATCAAGCCAGTCAGCCTGGAGCAGCCCAGGAAAGGCTCATCACAATCGTGCATTTGGAAAGCCCTGTGGGGGATGTTACAGAGTGAGGTGCTTCATATTAGAACTAAATGCCTCATCTATCATAAGGGACTAACCAGACAGTATTTACAGTTAATGAAAAGCCCAGCCTGGCCAACATAGTGAAACCCCATCTCTACTAAAAATACGAAAATTACCTGGGCATGGTGGTGCACACCCTGTAATCCCAGCTACTTGGGAGGCTGAGGCACGAGAATTGCTTGAACCTGGAGGTGGAGGTTGCAGTGAGCTATTGTACCACTGCACTCCAGCCTGGGCAACGGAGCAAGACTCTTACAAAAAAAAAAAAAAAAGCATTAAGAATACTTAAGTGGGCAGGAGAAACATCTTAGGTTCCCCCGCCCATCCCATAGACTGCACCATGGCATGGTGGTACCCACCTGTAGTCCCAGCTACTTGGGAGACCAGTAGTTTGAGGCTACAGTGCACCATGACTGTGCCAGTGAAATAGCTACTGCACTCCAGCCTGGGCAACACAGTGAGACCACAAATAGCCAAGTCTGGGATTCAGGGCCTTGCTGAGGTGGGGTATTGATTCAAGTGCTCCCGTCATGACTGACTGCTTTGCTGTACATAAATTGAGTTTTGAACGCTTAAGTTTGAACTTAGCCTACAGTGAGACACAGGCTAGCATTACTTTGGAAGTTCATGCAAAGCTATATGGCTATCAGCTAGTACAGAGCCTGGCACATAGTAGGAGCACAGTAAATATTTGTTGAATGAGCAGCAGACAAGTCACATTTAGGGCAGATACCTTTTAAGTAAAATTTAAAATCTGGTCTGTCTAGTTTGCTACGAATGTTAACATAGGAATGTAAAGTAACACTTTTCCTGTGTAATTACCTCCTCTAACCTGTTACTAGGCTCTTGTTCTGTTGCATATATCCTATTGTATATACATGTATTGTAAGCATTTGGTATATGAAGTACAAATCAATAGTGGGTAACATGGTTAACCTTCATTACAATGAAGGGACAAACTTTTCAGGTTAAACTTCTGATCATTAGTCAAATCAAACTTTTGGATAATTTGTAGACTATTATAATACGAAAATAAATAAGTTGTTTTTGAGTCAGGGTCTCAAGTCTGTTGCCCAGGTTGGAGTACAGTGGCTCAATCACGGCTCACTGCAGCCTTGGCCTCCAGGGCTCAAACGATCCCCCCATCTCAGCCCCACCTCCAGCAGCTGGGACTATCAGGCATGTGCCCCTATGCCCAGCCGGTTTTTGTATTGTTTGTAGAGATGGGGTTTCGCCATGTTGCCCAGACTGGTCTCAAGCTAGGCTCAAGAGATTCACCTGCTTTGGCTTCCCAAAGTGCTGGGATTACAAGTGCAAGCCACAGCACCCGGCCTGAATTTTTTTTTTTTCTGAGATGGAGTCTTGCTCTGTTGTCCAGGCTGGCGTGCAGTGGTGCAATTTCAGCTCACTGCAACCTCTGCCTCCTAGGTTCAAGCAATTCTCCTGCCTCAGCCTCCTGAGTAGCTGGGATTACAGGCGTCTGCTACCACACCTGGCTAATTTTTGTGTTTTTAGTAAAGAGGCGGGGTTTCACCATGTTGGCCAGGCTAGTCTCGAACTCCTGACCTCGTGATCTGCCCACCTCGGCCTCCCAGAGTGCTGGGATTATGGGTGTGAGCCACTGTGCCCAGCCAAAAATCTTTAATATACTAAAACTTTACAAATTTTAGATAAAACCAGTAAACACAGCAATGAGGGACAAAGCAAAATAAAAATATTCAAAAGAATATAAAAGTATATAAACAAAAGCATGCTCACCCTTTGAACTTTAATACACTGCTACTACTTACATGTTGCCCAGGTTTTCCCTTCTGTTGTACCCTATGCTGTGTAGACTTACACAGACCATATTCATTCCTTTTCTATCCATGGAGTTAGCTGGACTTTAGTCCACTATCATTATTAAAATCCACGGCTTCTAGAAAAAATACAATTGATTTCTCCTTTTCATTTTGAGAATTTTACTGCTCGACATACCAAGGTAGAGCTGGCAAATGTGAGTCCCTATCACAGGCCTGCCCTCCGGAGCAGAGATGTATTACAGCAAAGATGGATGCAGACTGGTGACAGGACCAAGATGCTCTTCCCCACTAACCCCTGACCCCCTCAGAAATCCACCTACGTGCAGACCCCAATAGGTACTGCCAACCGGGCAGTCACCACGGCCGGAGAAAATGGGCGCCTCCTCCGCTCTGCCGGGAGACAGAAAGGAGGCCTGAGCTCTGCAACATGACAGAGGCACAAACTCAGGATGGCATGTGTTCTTGAACTTTTCATTTTGTGACTCATGTTGTCACCCTCCATAGAGCCAATCATAAATGTTTTCAAAACAATTACAAACCCAATATTCTTTAAAAACGTTGATGCTGTGACAGTGCAAACAGCATTGATTTTATTGCTCGACTTCGGCATGGGCACATACATAGTTAATTTTTAAAAACCATTTATACAGATGTTATTGATAAAGCTCATGTAACAAATGAGTGAAAATACAAAGAATATCAAAGCTAAAACACTCTGTAATAAATACAAATACAATGAAAATGATAAAACTTTGTTTTTAAAGTCAGTTTGAGAGAAGAATATTACATAAAGTGAACTAATTACATCTAGAAATAAAACAACTCAGCATTTGGAACAATCATCCTAACATGTTAAATACCACAAATGGCACCCGTTGACTGTACGCTTAGAAAACAAGCAGAAGGCGCTGCTCTACCAAACTAAGGATGGCTGGAACAGCCTCTAACTCCCAACAATGCAATCAGTCCTATGCACTGGAAGTTCAAAGCCCAGATTAGTGTTGTAAAGCGAATTACACTGTATTTGAAAGAAGAGCATCTTGTGCTCCGGACTGTAAATACATGAAAGAAAAAAAGGCTTGGTAAAAAACCCGTTCGGGGCAACAAACTATGTGCAAAACAAAATGTACACTATACACAGCACTATTTAAAAAGTACACCAAGATACAAGGCCCTCTGAGACAAGACTCACCTCTGTACTGCCTGTGAGCTCTACGAAGGAATCTCTGTTCATAACTAAGCATTCATGATGGAAAGGCAAGAGTATGAAAACAGGTATCACATATCTGAAATAACAATACAGCCAGGGGGAAGACAAGAAGAAACCAGTTAAGAGGGACACGGAAATAAAGATTCACATTAAACATGAGGTGCGAGCCCATGGTTCAGTAACACATTGGGGGTTTCTGCTTAGCACCTATTTGGAAGTAATTGGGTAATGTAACTTTGAAATGGAAATCTAAATCGTGTTTTTATAGATGATGGTGATAGCATAGACTCTTACAGAGAGTAATTTATTTATTTTTGGGGGGAGTAGGGGGGATGGAGTCTCACTCTTGTCGCCCAGGCTGGAGTGCAGTGGTGTGATCTTGGCTCACTGCAGTCTCTGCCTCCCAGATTCAAGCAATTCTCCTGCCTCAGCCTCCCAAGTAGCTGAGATTACAGGAGTGCGCCACCACGCCTGGCTAATTTTGTATTTTCAGTAGAGATGGGGTTTCACCATCTTGGCCAGGCTGCTCTTGAACTCCCAACCTCAGGTGATCCGCCTGCCTTGGCCTCCCAAAGTGCTGGGATTACAGGCGTGAGCCATGGTGCCCTGCCAATTTCTTTCTTTTAAAGCTCTATTAAGTCATTAGCATAAAGTTAAAAAGGCACTCAAAAAACAATGGTATTTGCCTGCTTCATATTGTATATTAAAATAAGTGATAGTAGCATTTCATTATTACTGCATCCCTGTCAGTTATGATTTATATATTCATTATGTACTTATTTTTTACTGAAAGATTTTAAAAGTAGGCACAATTATAAACTGCACTAGTGCTTTAATATAAAAGAGATGGGCCTGCAACCAATAGGGTACTACCATGACAGCTGAACATTACTGATTATCAAATAGCATAGAAACCACCTTCCATACATTTCAAGATGCTCTTCGGTACTCAGAGTGCAATGTAAAAAAACAAATTGTTTGAGAGGAAAAAGGCAGACATAAGCATATTACCACTGCACAGTTACAACTATGACTAGCTTACTTGTGGCAGTTGAATGTGGCCAAATGAAATACACTGAAGTACTTAAAAACTACACAAGTAGTTCTCAACTTTTTTAGAGCAGCAAAATCTCCACTTCTTTTATCCCATCCATTCCTCCCCGCCCCGCTGCACCCCATGAAAGCTTACTTGAAATTCCAATATACATAAGAGAAAAACAGACTGTTCTGGGTAAAGGGGGTGGGGATATGAAGCCTGAGGCCCCTGCTAAATACCAACTAGGCCTTCCCCCTCGCTCCCTCTCTTTGCCCCTCTTCTCTTCAACCATTACTCCTGAAGCACCTCTGAGGAACTCTTTGGTGCCAAGAACACAGACTGAAACCCACTCCATCACATGAAACAGAACAGAGGACCTATTTACTTCATAACTTTAAATTCTGCAACTTAATTATCTCATGAAAATTTGCTTATTTCACATCAATGTAAAAAAAACCCTGAATAGTGCATATTTCTGATGGTTGAATTTAAAAATCCAATTGTGATTTCAGATTTTTTCAATCCCTCACCCCAGAGTTTTCATTGCTTCTGGATCATACAACATGCCACACACCTTGAAAGCTAAATCTGGACGTTTCAAAATCAAATGCAAATCTTCAACACGAAGGGAAATGGGATTCCCTTCCAAAATGAACTCTTTAGTTTCAAAGTAATTTATGCCATCGAGTTAGAATCACTGTTCATACTACTGCCCCTCAACCCCACTTCATTCTGTTAGGTAAAAGCAGGATTTTCTAAGCTTATTAATAATCTTTAAGCAAAATTCTTCCTTTTTCATAATTTTACCCAATTAAAATTATGAGCAGTTAACACTTTAGGATAGTTTTGTTAATGGAAACTTATACTATAGTCAAAATACAATATAAATTAGGTGCACTTGTCAGAGACTTTGGTTTATAGGAATAGTACATATATTAAAGATAAGCTGACCCAGCAAAATAATGAAAATCCCATCCCATCCACATGCTGTGAGAAGCTATAAAAATGCAGTATTTTAAGATTAAAAGTAAATCCAAAATACTAATCTCATTGATTCAAGATAAAAACATTAGTTTTTTTTGTTTGTTTGTTTTTAAAGAGTCTCTTAAAAACAGGGAGCCCCTGAACACATCTTATTGTCGCAAATAAATGACTAAGTTTAGACTAAACGTTTGCATTAGGAATTTGACAACCAAAATTATATAGCTGTATTCCAGGAAATTCGTTCTTGAAAAATGTAAAAAAGACCCACTTAGACTAAGCTGAAACATATAATGCAAAATATAATGCTCTGCCATAGAAAAACACAAACATGTAAATGGCTTAATTTCTTAAAGATGATTCTTTTAGCCAATTGTTTACAAAGGTAGAATAGTTCAAAATAATTTTTTATTTTTATTTTTTACAAAGAGCAAGTACAGGAGCTGTTCAAAATTATGTATTCAATCAAAATGAAATGTGACTTGTACCGACTGCTGAAGTTGTCTTGATGTTTGAGAGACTTAAAATCTGTGAAGCAATTTGAATAGATTACCTTTTATAAAAATAGTAGTAGTCTTTAAGTGTAGAATACTGCCTAACTCTGGAAATGTAGGAAAAGTCAGCATTCTTTAGGTTCAAGATATTAAGTTTAAATAGCAGCTGAATGTGGCCTCATGGCAAAGCATAAAGACCTTTTTTTCCTTGAAAAGGAATTTCAAAATTGTCCTTTCCCCTCACAGTGTCCTAAAATGTAAAAAAAAAAAAAGGGGGGGGTTGTTTTCCTGTATTTCAGCATTCTTTGAAACTCTGCTGAAAGGAGACTGTCAGTCAGGGTTGTATAAATAGAGTCCTGGGCAAATCCTTGAAGCTCGTCATTCCACAGCAAATCCACATGTTTCTTCAATGGCTGTTAGCAGCTTTTCATATAGCTTTTCATAGCTTTCATAGGGCGGAATGTCTATTCGATTGAAGCTGTGAATAAGCAAATCAAATTTTACACAGTTCATTCATAATAAGTAAACTGGCCCAGCAAGTGTATACCAATATAGCCACAACACTCTGTCACACAGAAAACTAAAAGGTATTTCTCTAAAACAGAGGTGACCACTTTTGAGTTTTCCTACCAGTTTTCGAATAATCTTAACTTTAAATCGCTTAAGCTGCTTATCATTCCCTTTAAAGGCTCATTCAACACTAGTAAGTACAATAAAGAAAAAGTCCAATCTGTTCGGAACTAACACCTATGTACATGGAATGGGGAATAAAGCTACAAAAATACCTTACCAAGTGTGGGCTTTCGGCAGGTTGTCTGTGCAGGCATCAATCTGGTGTATGGTAAAGAGTCTCGGGCCTGCAGCACCTGCAAATGAAGGAAATGTGGGTGAAATCACTGCAGGTGCGTGCATTTGTCGCCACAATCTTAGAATAAAACTGGCACGTAAACCACAGGATCTGGGGATAGAGGAATGCTAATGAATCCGCACGTACTACCAAAGGGCAGCAGGAAAAGCATCTGGGTTTTGAGAGCCAGAATTAACCTTGGATAAGGCTTAGATTCCATAATACCTTTGTATTTCCATTTGAGAAAAAACTCGAGATTGAAATCTCTTTCCCAATTTCTATATTTTAGAGAAAATCAATATCCCAAAAGCATGAGAAGAAAAGTAATCAGGAAAATCCAAGGTAAAATACATAGGCACACATTCAAAAAGATGACCTAATGCGAATTTAGATTTCATGACTCAAACTGGGCTGAGCGCAAAAGAGCCGTCTATAGAATCCATTTCAGTTCGCACAGACACCCCATATAAATACACGTAGCAGAAATACAACCTCACTTTATGCATCTGGGCAGTGTGATGCTGAGGAGCTCTCCTTACAGAGAAGGGCAGCACAGCTGAAAGCAGGTTCGCCCCAGGGATTTCAGAGCATGCGCTGTGGGCAGCACTGCCGAATTATGTACCAGTCTCGCTCTGTATGTCCTTAGTCATCACCAGCAGCTTTGACAATGAAGTGCTTAAGAGGTAAAGGAAGCAACTGCCACCCAGTGAAGCGCCACAATCATTAGCAATATTACAAGCTCATCCCAAAATTAACCAGCTGATTCCACGGAAAACCATTCTTTAAAAAGGAATATGGTTGTAAACAAATGGTCTGATGCCATGCAGTAATTAAAATGTTCTGACCGAACAGATGGTTTCCAAGACCCATGCTGCTTCTGTCTAATAAAGAACTGAAAAGTAAGGGGAGAGGCATCCCAGGCAGGTAAACATTTTCACCAGGTCGAGATGTGAACATGAAAGTGAATGACTTCCCTTACAGGAATGTGCAACAGAATTAAAAGTAAGGTGACCAGAAAACAAAAGGCAGAGCATCACTACGTACGGTCTCTAGCATGCGGCACTCACTACAATCAGAGAAGCCCACACAAAAGGCTCTTGGGAGGGGAACAAGAGAAAGGAAGGAGAAGGTATCACAATGTGAGAGTCACAGGTAAGAAGTGAAAAGAGAATCTCTAAGCACACGGTTTATAAAATATCTACACAGACCCCATACTGACAGACCTGGCCCCCACCCCTGGTCCACCTGCCGCCCAGCTTGCCTGCCCCTCAGGCTGTTACCTTGCAATGCTTTGAAGCCCTGCAGAGGCACTCGAGAGGACCCTGTCACAAACTGAAGCAATCGTGCTCGTCGCTCTTCATCAAAAAACTCCACAGCTTTCCAGAACCATTTGACAATGTTGCTGTCTGGTGTACAGTGTTTTAACCGGGTGTTTACCTTCCAGTCACTAACATCTATCTTTCCAAGTCCACAAATAATAAGCTGTGAAAATAGTACACAGTAATGAACCTGTGGAAACCATAGCCAGGTCAAAAATTCCTCAAAAGAGAACTTCAGATTTGTACTGCTGGCTCTCATTTGGTGGTTCCTAATCGAAGTTGCACATCAGAATCATCTGAAAAGCTTTTCAAATTGACATACCAGGTTCTAGGCTCAGAGATTTTAATTCTGTGCATCTGGGGTGACAGTTGGGATCTATATTTTTAAAAGTTCCAGAGGTATCTACTCATTGAAACTCCCTCCCCAGAGTCTGAGAACCACAGCTGTGATAGACTTGACCAGGTAAAAAATTGTGACTGTTTTATAAGTTCATAATAAAATTATAAAACTTTTAAGAAAATGGACAGCAATTGAGATCCAAAGAGTAAATACAGTTGATATGTGCCTTCTTTGGACCTGTATCATCTACTAGTTTCAATATCTATTAGCTTTGTTGATTGAGAGCAATTCAATCAATGTCCTCTGCTGTAATATGGCAGTAACATCCATTTCACTACATCCTGTGGAAGGAACCGATAATGCACAGAAACTTTAGAAATGGGTGTTGAATAAGTGATTCATACAATTTGCTTAATTTTTTTTTTTTTTTTTTTTTAAGACAGAGTTTCGCTCTGTCTCCTAGGCTGGTGTGCAATGGCATGATCTAGGCTCACTGCAACCTCTGCCTCCTGGGTTCAAGTGATTCTCCTGCCTCAACCTCCTGAGTAGCTGGGATTACAGGCATGCGCCACAATGCCCAGCTAATTTTTGTATTTTTCAGTAGAGACAGGATTCTGCCATGTTGGCCAGGCTGGTCTCCAACTCCTGGCCTCAAGTGATCCACCTGCCTCAGCCTCCCAAAGTGTTAGGATTACAGGCGTGAGCCACCACGCCTGGTCTACATTTGCTTAATAATCTTAAATTGATATTAAAGCACAAAATACATGAGCACATTGATACAGACCTCTGCTAAACACATCCTGATGGGAGGGTCACACAGATGAACTATATCCAAATCATTTTGATATTACTAATACATCTCCCTAGGGTCCAAGACTAACTCACCATACTAATCTAACATGTTTATAATAGCGAATTCCATGTGTACTATAAAACATAACTTGCAAATCCTAGATTTTATAGAATTAATTAAACCCAAGATTAATGTATACACCACTAAAATAAATGTTATACATATCGTCTTTAAAAATGGGTAGGGTGTGGTGGCTCACGCCTGTAAGCCCAGCACTTTGGGGGGACAAGGCATGCAGATCACTTGAGGTCAGGAGTTCAAGACCAGCCTGGCCAACATGGTGAAACCCTGTATCTACTAAAAATACAAAAAGGTAGCCGGGCGTGGTGGTGAGCACCTGTAATCCCAAGGCATGAGAATACTTGAACCTGGGAAGTGGAGGTTGTAGGGAGCCGAGATCCTGTCAGCCTGGGGGACAAAGTAAGACTGTCTCTCCAAAAAAAAAAAAAAAAACAAAAACCCCAAAAAACTGTTAGCCAGGTGTGGTGGTGCACACCTGTAGTCCCAGTTACCGGGGAGGCTGAGGTGGGAGGATCACTTCAGCATAGGAGTTAACCGTGAGCTAGGATCATGCTACTGCACTCCAGCCTGGGCAACAGAGTGAGACTCTCTCAAAAATAAAAATACAAAGTTTAATGATTCAGGCCCGGTGCGATGGCTCATGCCTGTAATCCTAACACTTTGGGAGGCAGAGGCAGGTGGACTGCCTGAGCTCAGGAGTTTGAGACCGGCCTGGGCAACATGGTGAAACCCCCTCTCTACTAAAACTACAAAAATTAGCCAGGCATGGTCGTGCACACCTGAAGTTCCAGTTACTCGGGAGACTGAGGCAGGAGAATCGCTTGAACCCGGGAGGCGGAGGTTGCGGTAAGCAGAGATTGCGCCACTGCACTCCAGCCTGGGCGACAGAGTGAGATTCTGTCTCCACAAAAAAAAAAAAAAAAAAGAAAAAGAAAAAGTATAATGACTCATTAGCAGTAGAAACTATATTCAAAACCCTAACCCTACCAAATAAAGTCTCCAGTAAGGCTTCCATAGGGTTCTGAAATAAAATCTCCAACAAAGCTTCTACAGGGTTCACTGAGTTAACACCACACTGAACAGGGAGGAGGTTATCCGAAAAGGATTATGGGTGTGTTTAATGACATAAAAGACTCCTCCTAAATTCTTTTCCTCAGAGGAATGGCAGTTAGAAGGCCAAATCCTTGTTTATTGTGTAAAGAGATGAAAATGCATTATATTGCAACCTTATCGGCATTCCTGCTGCGTTCTCCTCCAACTACTTCCTTCTGGCTATTTTACTATGAACAATTCAATCACAAAAGGAATGGGGAGAGTATTAAGTAAGACCAACCTTTTTAGATTTGTTTGCTAACAGGTCTATTAACAGATTTAGTTAGAAAGGACATTGAAGGCAGTGAATAAAATCATGTTTCAAATTATTAGTAGACTTCAAATATTTGTGTTATCCCTAACTACTAAATAAATGTGGGAGCCTGAATAGAATTAAACCTCATGTTTCTTAGTAGTTCAGTAGGAAATTCAGATGTATTTGTCAAAGGTCTTAATTACAAAACCAGACCTGAGGTGTTTAAGGGACAGCTTTAAAAGGAAACAAAAAACTATTAACTGTTTTGTATGGCTGTTAATCTAAAGACATTTAGAGGCCAGGTACGGTGGCTTACACCTGTAATCTGAGCACTTTGGAAGGCCAGAGTGGGTGGATCATTTGAGGTCAGGAATCCCAGACCAGCCTGGCCAATGTGGTGAAACCCTGTTTCTACTAATATAAAAATCAGCCGGGCGTGGTTGCGGGTGCCTGTAGTCCCAGCTACTTGGGAGGCTGAGGCAGGAGAATCACTTGAACCCAGGAGGTGGAGGTTGCAGTGAGCCTAGATCATGCCACTGCTCTCCAGCCTGGGCGATTCTGTCTCAAAAAAAAAAAAAAAAAAAGATACAATTTCTCCTAGGTGTTTTAGTTATTTTCTCAATGATCTTGTCTATCAAATGCTTTCTTGCAAGCTTAGTGTAAAACCAACTGAGAGTAGGCTCTTACCCAAATTAATTTCAATATGGTAGATTAATGAGGTTTTACTTAACTAAATCAGTAACTACTAAGTTAAGGAATAAATATATATTGGAAGAATGTACATATAAGTCATGAAATCTGTTTAAAATAAGAAAGTACAGGATAGAAAAATAAATTTTAAATGTTCACAATATAAGAGAGATTGCTCAAGCCGGGCATGGTGGCTCAAGCCTATAATCCTAGCACTTTGGGAGGCCAAGGCAGGCAGATCACTTGAGCTCAGGAGTTTGAGATCAGCCTGGGAAACATGGCAAAACCTTGTCTCTACCAAAAAAAAAAAAAAAAAAAAACAAGAAAATTAGCCAGGCGTGCTGGTGCATGCTTGTAGTCCCAGCTACTTGGGGGGCTGAGGTGGAAGGATCATTTGAGCCCACGAGGCCAAGGCTGCAGTGAGCCATGACTGCACCACTGCACCCCAGCCTGGGTGACGGAGTGAGACCCTGTCTCAGAAAAAATGAGAGGAGAGGGGAGAGGGGAGAGGGGAGAGGGGAGAGGGGAGAGGGGAGAGGGGAGAGGGAGAGGGGAGAGGGGAGAGGGGAGAGGGGAGAGGAGAGAGGAGAGGAGAGGAGAGGAGAGGAGAGGAGAGGAGAGGAGAGGAGAGAGAGATTGTTCACTCACAGAAATTCCAAAGGATGAAAGGCCTTCAAAAGCATGAAAGACTTTTCCTGTGAATAAGAATTCTCAAGCATAGAACCATGAAACTTAGAAAGTACCAGAAATATGACTTTCCTATAAAATTAAGTAACAAAATAATTCCCAATCCTTTCTTGTTATACTAGTGATGTTATACTACTAATGCACTAACCTCTAACTCCTTCTCATCAAATGTCTTCAGCAAATGTTGTGGAATTACTTCATTAAATCCTTTCTGCAGAGCCAGGAATTGAGCCTCAATGCCTCGTAAAAATCTCCAGTTCACATAGAGCCTGTAAACATTAGGCAGGATTGGGTATAATCACATATATTTTCAGATCTGGTAATTATTATAAATCTCTACTTTAGCAACATTGCATTTTACAAGCATCTAACATTAATAATTTAGCCTAAAGTCTAAAAATAAATCTCAGACTAATGGGGATAAATGATCCCTGAGGTGTGACACAGTTCAGTGTTGATGAAAAGTGGTAAACTTCTACTAACAGCAGCAGCATCAGCAGAGCAACCCTTCGAATCAGAGAAGCTCCCAGGAAACAGGACGTCTACTTGAGTCTTGATGAAATTTCTTTCTAAACTTACAGCATACATGCCAATAACTAGAATAAAGAGCTCTTTCACTCAAAAATGACTATTTTTTTCTGATTTTACTTGTAAATGTAATTTGAATGTGTTGGGTGTTTTGTTTCTATTTGAGGGAGGTCTGTGGGAGAAGAGGAGGTAGATAATCCTCAAACCAAAAATGAGAAGAAACAGTAAAAGCCAATAGCAAGTGCTTTTTGATTAAATAATCATTGTTCTCTAGAGGATATAAAAATTCTGGAAGATGTAATTTTACCAATAAAAAATGCACTAAACTACATCTACTGTGTGACTGTATGATTTATGAGTGAATTGCTTTTATTTATCTACCTACCCAAGAAGACCTCTCCATCTCACACATCACAGAACTTACTCATCTGTCAAATTTGTTACCATTTCCAAATCTGGAGAAATGGTTCTCCACTTCAAGAGAGAAGTTACTTAACAACACATCCTTTGGAGGACCATATTTCTGTTTGCTGGGCTAAGGGGACAGAAAAACTGTACAACTGTAAAAATTTTTCTTTGTAATTTTTAATCTCAAAACTGTAGCTGGCAAGGCATTAGTACCGTGTGCTGTAAACACGACTGAACCCTGGAGAGTGGGATCCAGGGACTGAGTAGGACACACGAGGTCTTGAAAAGGAGATACTGCTAAGACTTAGGAAATTCTCATTTGTTCTTTCTTTTTTTATTATTTTAAATTTATATTAGATAGAGTTTCGCTCTGTCGCCCAGGCTGGAGTGCAGTGGTGTGATCTCAGCTTACTGCAACCTCCACCTCCCAGGTTCAAGTGGTTCTCCTGCCTCAGCCTTCAAAGCAGCTAGGATTACAGGTGCCTGCCAACACACTTGGCTAATTTTTGTATTTTTAGTAGAGACAAGGTTTCACCATGTTAGCTAGGCTGGTCTCAAACTCTTGACCTCAGCTGATCCACCCACTCTGGCCTCCCAAAATGCTGGGATTACAGGCATGAGCCACCACACCCAGCCTGTTCTTTCATTTTTTAAAGTAGAAATGTAATACATACTTTTTATGCATGTAACAAAAAAACAAACATTAACTATGGAGACAGTAAAATATGAAAGTCCATTCTTTTACCCTCTTTCTCCTCCCTATTTCCAGTCCCATCACCTCCACTCCCTCATCCTAGGCAAAAACTTTATTTGACTGCAGCCTCCTGAACATCTTCAGTATAATTATAAAAAAAAAAAAAAAAAAACCAGCCAGGCACGGTGGCTTACGCTGTAATCCCAACACTTTGGGAGGCCAAGGCAAGCAGATCATGAGGTCAGGAGTTTGAGAACAGCATGGTCAATATGGTGAAACCCCATCTCTGCCAATAATACAAAAATTCGCCGGGTGTGGTGGTGCGCACCTGTACTCCCAGCTACTCGGGAGGCTGAGGCAGGAGAATCACTTGAACCTGGGAGGCAGAGGTTGCAGTGAGCCAAGATTGTGCCACTGCACTCCAGCCTGGGCAACAGAGTGAGACTCTGTCTCAAAGAAAAACAAAAGAAAACAAAAAACAAAACAAAAAAAAAAAACATAGACTTTGTTCCTACATAATTCTTGTAAGATTTAGTTTTAAAATATGACAGCTTATGCAGTCTTTCTTTTAAATATCCACATAATATTCTGTTGAATGTATAATATAATCATTCTTCTCTAAAAAGATTTTAGTAGTGTAATTTTTACAAGTAGTATTTAATTGACCATCCTTTCCTGTACTTCTTCAATTACATGTGTGTTTCTGCAGAAGAGTCCTAAACACAGAGCTGCTAAAGGGCATGTACTGCTGGTATCAAACCGCTTTCCAGAAAAGCTATGCCAGTGTTCACTCCAATCAAGTGGACCTCATTTTTAAACTAGGAACAATGTTAGTAAGATTTGAGAACATGATCTATACAAAAAAAGTATAGCATGCAAGTTTCTGTGTACATACAGTAAAGTTCAAGTTCAAACTTCCAAAGCTGATTACCACAGTTTTGTTTGGTAGACTTTTTATTTCTCATAAGCCAAATTAGCCCAATACATAAAAATTCCTCAAATTTACTTTATGAAATCTGAAAAACATTTATTTACATTTATCCCTAAACTCACAATGTGCTTGTTTATAAACAGGCTAAATGTTAGTAATATACAGCACAAAAGCCCTTCTGAATTGCCACCTGTGATAGCTACACCACACATGGCCCCATTGCCCACATCTCCTGGTATTCACACCTTTGTACAGCTCCTCTTCCATGATGAAACTGGGCTGGCTGTCTCAGTTTAACCAGAACTAGACAGAAGTCATGTTGGCCAGGACCAGGCTTAGGCCTTAAAAAGATCTAGCAGCTTCTGCTTTTGAGCTTTGGAAAGCTGGCCACCCCATAAGAAGTCTATCAATACAGTGGGTAACATGATTAACCTTCATTACAATGAAGGGACAAACTTTTCAGGGAGAAAGAGTGGCTATGGGGAGAGGGAGTGGTCATGGAGAGAGGGAATGGCCTTTGATATCACAGAGGGAGAACCAAGGAACTCAGCCAACAATGAGAACTAGGACCCAGCCAGTGACCCCAGTCGACAGCCATGCCAGCTAGCCCTCGGCCATTTGAGTTATCCTAGTTATGAGTGAAGAGGCCATCTTGGTGTTGCAGGCCTAGCTGACATCTTGTGGAACAGCAGTGTGTCATCCATGTTGTTCTTTTGCCCAATTTCCTGACCCTTGGAATTGTGAGAAATAATAAAATGGCTGTTCTTAATAAGCCACTAAATTCTGCTGAAGCGGATTTTGTAACACTAAGTAATACTATCTAAATATTTAAGTTTGTTCATACTAACATCCTAGAACATTTTAAAAAAATTCAGCCTTGAGAACACAGGAGTGTTTACCTGACATATTCTTTTTTATTTTCTTCATTAACAGGGATACTTTTGCCATTTGGTTTAAGTTCATGCTGAATAATTTCACCATATGCATTATGTTCAACACAGAAGGTATGGTCCAAAACACCTGTAATATCATTCTCACTGGAAAGGAAAGAGGAAGAGATAGGTAACTGGGAAACCTAAAATACAGACCCTATAGATGTATTAACTGGTGAGATAAAACTAAGATCATTTTATAATATGACAAATGTGAGGTCAGATTCAGCTTATGAACTCTTAAACTACCACACTACCTAGTTCTTTCTGGACAGAAAAGTCAAAGAGCTTTAACCTGCATAAACACAGGAAACATTTAACTTCCTGAGTGATGAGAAAGAGCCCTGGTCAAAGCTGGGACTTGCTAGAACCACCAATATAGGACAATTTCAGTTATATTTGGCATTCTGAAGAGCGCTACTCGGTACTGTACTCCAAGGGGCCAAGTGCCTGTGTATCCCTAGTTGAGAAAGCCACTGTATACTTTATAAAAAATAAACATTTCCAGTGTATCTTCATAAAAATAACGACCTCTTGCAAAACAGAATCAGTTCTTAGCTTAAATTCAACAATTAGTTCTTATCTAAAAGTATGGTTCCAACAATCGCCACTTCATTAAAAGCAATGGCAGCAAGAATTTGCTATTCTAACACATGCAGGTTTGGAACAGAATTTACATCACATTGAGGAAATAATCATATAAAGTACTTTTAAAAATAGAATATACTAGTTTTTTTTTTTTCTTTTTAAAGTAGTAACACTTGCTAAGTTTAAGGAATTTGAAATATATAAAGAAGCTACAGAAAGGGGGAAATCATATGAGATCCTATCACTCAACCACTCAATATTTTCTGTGTAATTTTTTTTAAGTACATCGGTTTTGAAACTTTTTTTTTAAAAGCTCAAGAGTTTAACTATAATGAAGAGACAGAAGACTCAATACATACAGTATCCACACTAAACTGTTATGAAGATCTGGATCTACTAACTCCATGTCATCCAAAGTAATCGACTTCCCAAGCAATTGCTTATAAAAAGGCAAAGTGAAACCACCATCAATATAATGTCCATGAAACACAGCCATTCCCATTATTCGTCCAACAAAGTGGAAATAGGATAAATGTTCCTGAAATTGAAAAGAGTGTATATACTCAAGTTAGAAACTACCCAGGAAAATTTTAATAAAAATGAAATATTTCAGCAACATTAATTTTTTTGAGAATAAGCATAAAATTTGTACTCTTCAATATAGTCAGGAGGGAGTATTTCTCTAGGGCATGCTCAGGAGTCTCTAGATCACTCCGGAACAGCATATTACACAGGGTAATACGCCCTTCTCACAGGGGTCAGTCATTCTGTAAATTTTATCTTTTAGAAAGATAAAATTTATCTTTTAGAAAGTCCAAACTATGGTCCCAGAGCTTCATTCAACTACTTGCAGATTCTTTTCTCTTCCTTCTCTCACTTCCGTGCTGAGCCCTTTGTCATGAAAAAAAATCTTTCAATTCTAAATCTCCCCGCCTCCTTGACCTAACCAGAAATTAAACATCAAAACACCATAGATTTAAGAGCACAGACTTGGTGTCAGGCTTGAATTAGAATCATGATTCTGCTAGTCACTGGCGTATGGACAAATTAACCCCTGTAGGACTGTCCACATCTGGAAATATGAGGATAATAACAGTATCTAAAAAGCATCTCTATGAGGAGTAAAATGAGGTGATGTTTGAAACCCATGGAACTGGACCTGGCATGCTGTAAGCCCTCAATGAATGTGGGCTATTGTTACTACAGGGGCAGCAGTGCGCCCTCCAAAAAGAACCTTCACCTCAAAATCCTCCCTAAATAATTTCCTGAAACAAATCTAACATTTCTACCCTTTTATATATATTTCGTCTTTCATCACAGATTATTTTGTCAGATGTTTGTATTTTTAAATTCTTTTTTTTTTTTTTTTTGAGACAGAGTCTCGCTCTGTCACCCAGGCTGGAGTGCAGTGGCGCGATCTCGGCTCACTGCAAGCTCCGCCTCCCGGGTTCACGCCATTCTCCTGCCTCAGCCTCCCGAGTAGCTGGGACTACAGGCGCCCACCACCATGCCTGGCTAATTTTTTTTTGTATTTTTTTTTTTTTGTAAGTAGAGAAGGGGTTTCACTGTGTTAGCCAGGATGGTCTCAATCTCCTGACCTCGTGATCTGCCCGTCTCGGCCTCCCAAAGTGCTGGGATTATAGGCTTGAGCCACCGCGCCCAGCCAAAACTAAGTAATCTTTTAAGTTCGTCTTTAAACCTCTTTGTTTCTTTTTTAAAAGTAATAAAACACACACACACACACACACACACACACATATATATTTACCAAAGTTGCATTATACTATTTGATAACCTTCTTTTCCCTTAACACATCATAAACACCAAATTTCCAAATCATTAACTATTATCCCACATGATCATTTTAGTGGCTGTATAGTGTGCCCTTCTATGGAAAGACAATATAAGAACAATACATTAGTAATAACTGCTGACTTCTGTTGAGTGCTTAATAATGTAATTGATAAGAGTTGTACAGTTAATAACATACAGCACTGTGCTAAATGCTTAATGTGCCAGTCCCCATTTAATTCTCATAACCCCTCTTTGAGGTACACATTTATTTATTAGCAATGACAAAACTGAAGCTTAAGTCCATGAACTTGCCCTGAAAGGTCACAAAGCTAGAAAGTGATGAGACCACGACATGTCTTTCTAATTCCAGAACCTATGCCTTTAATCATTTGTGTGATTCTGCTTCATGTCATAATTTAATCAATCCCCACTCTTGAAGACAACTATATTGTTCTCAGTTGAGTGCTACTATAAACAATAAACATCCCTGTTTCCAAATTGGTGCATGTATCTGTAATCATCTGCTTGGGAAAATTTTGTAGAAGAGGAATTGCTAAGTCAAAGGGTACAACTAAGACAAGGACAAATAATTTCTATATAATAAACTACATTAATATGTAAACATGAAAAGCATTACAGGTCACAATTCACATCATAACTTCAAATCATACCGGATTAACTGCAGAATCAGGATTGATCTGCAATGTATAGATATCATCTCTTGAATATTGGAAGAGGCCATAGTATGGATTCAGCATTTCATGTGACAAGAGATACAACCATTCCCTAGAAAACAGATATGACCAAGGAATTTTTTTGTTAATGTATACATTTTTATTAAGATATGCCATTAATTCATCATTTTAGCAAATAATTTTTTAAATTAATAAAAGGCAAAAAAGCATTAACTGTAGTTATATAAGATCACATTGGAAAAATCTACCATGCCCAAATAGCAAATAAAAACTCTCTTATATTGAAGGAACATCTCACTCAAAATTTAGGAAATTTTATTGTATTTTAGCATCAAAGAGTATAAAAGTATTATCCAACAGCTCAGCTACTCACGAGATGATATAGTCCAGTGGTCTGTTACTTTTAATTGCCAAATAAATTTGTAATCCATAATAAACATAAAACAAAAGGAAGAATACGGGGTTTTATTTCAAAATGTCCATGTGAGGCTGGGGACGGTGGCTCACACCTGTAATCCCAGCACTTTGGGAGGCCAAGACAGGTGGTTCACTTGAGCTCAGGAGTTTGTGACCGGCCTGGGCAACAAGACAAAACCCTATCTCTACAAAAAAATACAAAAATCAGCCAGGTTGATAGCACGTGCCCACAGTCCCAGCTACTTGGGAGGCAGAAGTGGGAGGACTGCTTGAGCCCCGGAGGTCGAGGCTGCAGTGAGCTGAGATCACACCACTGCACCCCAGCCTGGGTGACAGAGTGAGACCCTGTCTCAAAGGAAAAAAAAAAAAAAAAAAAAAAAAGTCCACGTCATCTATACTATCCTGGTCTACTATCACGGCAGATTTATACCAGTTTATATAGACATATAATATAGTATTGATTTACTCTTCATTTTGGACAAGGGTATATTTTGTTGTAGTATTAGTAAGGACACTTCATTATCCATTTCATTATCTTTCACTGTATAAACCCTAAAACATACCATGATAAAAATATAAGTGGGCAAAGATTGAAGGCATTTGGTGTAGGTATGGACTCAAGGGCAAACCTGCATTCTTTGGGTATGTTCCATACCACTTCTTGACTTCAAATGTAAATCAATGTTTTTAAAACCTGGAATAAAAAGTACTACCACCGGCCGGGCGCGGTGGCTCAAGCCTGTAATCCCAGCACTTTGGGAGGCCGAGACGGGTGGATCACGAGGTCAGGAGATCGAGACCATCCTGGCTAACACGGTGAAACCCCATCTCTACTAAAAAATACAAAAAACTAGCCGGGCGAGGTGGCGGGCGCCTGTAGTCCCAGCTACTCGGGAGGCTGAGGCAGGAGAATGGTGTGAACCCGGGAGGCGGAGCTTGCAGTGAGCTGAGATCCGGCCACTGCACTCCAGCCTGGGCGACAGAGCAAGACTCCGTCTCAAAAAAAAAAAAAAAAAAAGTACTACCACCTTGAATTTATTAAATTCTTCACATTTTTCAAAGTATAAAAGATAATTTGTTACTCACTTTGGAAATTCACTAGTCTATGACTTAAGAGATGTAGTTCTAGTCTTAATTATTGTCATTCCTCAGCTAGGGAAGGTTATTTAAATGATATATTTTGGTATTATGGATTAAACAGATTGAATAATATTTTTGAGCAAATACAGAATAGTATTAAAACTAGTTAAGGGAAAATGTTTCCAAAGTCTATGTGATGGAGTCTAAATCAAATTACTACCATTATGTAAATTTGAAAAACTACTCTAGAGATTAAAAAAAGAAGTGACATCTCCACATAAGCAGCCTTCTCAACATAACACTCATCTGATGTGTCTTGTGGTTTTGGTGTGTGTGTGTTTTTTAAAAAGAAAATCTGAATTTTTGTTTTGTTTTACCAAGTATTTAGAACACAAATAAGAGCAGAACTCAACTACTTTGAGATTCTACTATGGAATAAATTTCAGAAAAACCAGATCACTGTCACATTCCATTTATTCTGCTCAAACCCTGACAGTAGTAAGGTTAAAAAACAAAAAACTGGGCTGGGTGCAGTGGCTCATGCCCATAATCCCAGCACTTTGGGAGGCCAAAGAGGGCAGATCACGAGGTCAGGAGATAGAGACTAGCACGGCCAACATGGTGAAACCCCGTCTCTATTAAAAATACAAAAATTAGCTGGGTGTGGTTGTACGCGCCTGTAGTCCCAGCTACTCGGGAGGCTGAGGTTGGAGAATCGCTTGAACCCGCGAGGCAGAGGTTGCAGGGAGCCAAGACTGCGCCACTGCACTCCAGCCTGGTGACAGAGTGAGATTCCATCTCAAAAACAACAACAACAAAAACTGACTACTAGGCACGCATGGTGGCTCATGCCTGTGATTCCAGCACTTGGGGAGGCTGACGCAGGAGGATCACTTGAGGCCAGGAGTTTGAGACCAGCCTGGGCAACATAGACGCTGTTTCTACCAAAAAAAAAAAAAGTTTGAGATGGAGTCACGCTCTGTCGCCAGGCTGGAGTGCAGTGGCATAATCTCGGCTCACTGCAACCTCTACCTTGTGGGTTCAAGTGATTCCCCTGCCTCAGCCTCCTAAATAGCTGGGACTACAGGTGTGTGCCACCACACCCAGCTAATTTTTTTTTTTTTTTAATTTTTAGTAGAGACAGGGTTTCATCATGTTGTCCAGGATGGTCTCGATCTCTTGACTTTGTGATCTGCCCACCTCGGCCTCCCAAAGTGCTGGGATTACAAGCATGAGCCACTGTACTTGGCCAAAAAAAATTTTTTTTTATTAGGCATGGAAGCATGTGCCTATAGTCCCAGCTCTTTAGGAGGCTGAGGCAGGAAGATCACTTGTACCTAGGAGTTCGAGGCTGCAGTGAGCCATGATCACACCACTGCAATCCATGGAGCCTGGGTGACAGAGCGAGACCTTGTCTCTAAAAAACTAACTAAATAAAATAAACTACTTAATTGATCTACACATATAATTACAGTACTCAGATGCCACCACTAGATGATGACGATGAAGTTTTCCCAATAAACGTTCACTCTAGTTATGAGTAAGCAATACAAATTCCACAGAAACCATCAAGTCCTAAGTATGATGTGGAAGGGATTATTTTTTAAAATACACACTAAAGAAACTATCCATCCATAAGTTTAAGAGGTGACGAATGAAAATAAGTCTATAAATACATGTAATGCTAAATAACAACGGGAATTATTGAAAACATAATTTTGGTTGGATTTAAGATTAAGGAAAGCAGAATTATCATAATGATCCTTAGAACATTTCAATACAGAGCTACAGTGTTTCTCCTGCATTTATATAAAACAAATTTTCACACTTAGTAAAGAACTCTTGTAGTAAATATAGTATCAGAAACAAATCACTGGCTGGGTGTGGTGGCTCACACCTGTAATCCCAGCACTTTGGGAGGCTGGGGCAGACAGATTGCTTGAGCTCAGGAGTTCGAGACCAGACTGGGCAACATGGCAAAACCCCATCTCTACAAAAAAAATACAGAAATTAGCCGGGTGTGGTGGCTTGTACCTGTAGTCCTAGCTATTCAGGAGGCTGAGGTGGGAGGATCTCATGAGCCCAGGATGGGGAGGTTGCAGTGAGCCGAGATCGTGCCACTACACTCCAGCCTGGGTGACAGAGAGAGACCCTGTCTCCAAAAAACAAAAAGAAAATCAATTTAACTTGACCTGTGAGTTACAAATGTAGCAGAAGCATTATACTTTCTGTACTGAAGCATTCTGAGGACCATCATGATACGTACATGTGTATAAACACATGCATGCATACACATTCATTTAACAAGGTAAAAAGGCATATCAATGGAAGCAAAGAGAACCAGTATTCAGTTCAGGTTATATATCATTTAAATCTCAAAACTGTTCCTGACAATGTAAAGCAGAGGCAATAACATGCTGAAGGAGAGAGATAGAGAAAACACAGGGCCTGTAGTCTCACTGGACTCAGATGATCTACTGGGGAGTTGTAAAATACTTGTCCGGTAGCAGTATTACCCTAACCTCATTATGAATATATCTGTTAGGATATCCTCAGTAATACAAACATTAGGGAATATAATACCAAAAAATAAATGTCAATGAGAAAGTTACACCACAGGAAGTATCTTAAATTGGTAAGTACAAAGATCCA